GCTCATATATATATATATTTTGCCCCCAACTGTTGAGGAAATTCCTTTTCTTCCTAGTTGTTACAGTTTTTTCCATCTATCAATGCAGTGGTTTGATTAAAAGTTCAAAATTTATACTTAAAATTCTAACCCAGCCTAGCCCTTTTTTGTTGACTTCATGGCTCATATTGTAGCATTTGGGAAATTGTTTTTATTTTTATTTTTTTTCGCCCTGTCGCTTCATATTTTTTCTAAAAAAATCCGAGAACCAACAAATTAAATTGGTGTGGCCTAAGGATTGAATTTGAAACAAAATTACCTGTTGCTTCTCAATTACTGTAACAAATCCCTTTTTACGATTTAGAGCACTAAATGTTGCTATATATTACAACATATTGTCCAATTACATGCACACACCCCCAAAATATTCTCATTTAAGGCCACACCAATTTAATTTGTTGGTTCTTGGATTCGCCTCTTCATTTTTTTCTGATTTGCAAAAAAATGAAAAGACAAGATTCTGGTTCTGAATCATTACTCAAATATGCTCAATGACATATTTTGCCTCCAACAGTTGAGGAAAGTCCTTTAATTTCTTCCTACTTGTTACAGTTTTTCCAACTATCAAATCAATGCAGTGGTTTTTAATTAAAGTTCAAAATTCATTGTTTAAATATGAACCCAGCCTTTTGTGTTGACTTCATGGCTCCTATCATGGCATTTGGGGCTATAATAGGATGCCTAGACTGTTTTTTTTCGTCCTATTGCTTCATATTTTTTCTGAAAAAATCCGAGAACCAACAAATTAAATTGGTGTGGCCTTAAGCATCGCTGGCCTGCCTGAATAAGCTGTTAAGTATTTGTCTATCCTTCTAAATTTACCATCATGCCCCCCCCCATGCAGGCCCTCCACTATGTCAGAAAGCACACTAAGGATTCTCAATAAATCTACCAATCTTAGAAGACATAAACGCTATTCAGAAGATTGCCTCACAAAAATGACTTGTGACACCTGTGGTGCCCATCTGCCATTCGAATTCATTCACTCGTTTTTCATGATTCAAAAAGCCAGCGTGCCAAATAAATCTAGCAATAGAAGAGGCAAACAGCAATTACCATATGCACGACACAGTAATAAAAATTCATTCTCACTTGTATATTTAATATCAAAGTTGTCAACTTCGTCTATGTATCCCATATTTACCAGACAACTGTCAGAAACTTGTGCAAATGCAGTGTAACATCTTCACGTAGTAGATATTCTGGGTATCTGTACCAAAATAACACTTGAACTAATAGAATTGGTTGGGGACACTTACAGTTATTATAGATTTGAATTCTTGAATTGATTTTTGTATCCATGGATGTCCTCTGATTTGCTTTACATAAATTTGGGAACTTAATCAGATATAAGTACCAGATTTGAAGCCACGAATATCAGGGCTCAAAATAGTTTTTTCAGGTATTTTTTTTCTGGCTGAGAGATATGACTATTGACAGTGCATGTGATGATTAGCTGTCTTGATAACCAATGTGTCAACGTTAGTCCCTTTTCTTGTCAAGTTTCCCTTTATGTATAAACTTCGGAGATACGCAGTGCAAACATAATATATCGGTATTTTCTAGGTGCAAAATTGCACACTCGAAATATTTTTACGTGCAAATCTTGGAAATCATGTGCATTTTGCACATTACATACAGGTACTCAGTATTTTGAGCCCTGAATATGATATTTGTAACCTCGGATGTTGTTAAGCTTTCGTAATCACCTGATTGTCACATGCACGAAATATTCTGGTCACGTCTGAAATTACGGAGAGGTGTCAGGATCTCACATTAATTGGTTGTCACACAAATTAACAGCTGGAAGAGTTATCCACGTCATAGTATGTTTGAAAATAGGTGCTAGGGTCACCTTGAAAATTGCTAAGTCACCTTGGACAAGTACAAACATGTGTCGTGTTGATTACATGCATTAATGATGATGATAATGATGTCGTCAGCTCCACGATTTGTCACACCCCACCCACCCTACATGTGCCGACGTGCTTGGCACATGTAGCACGTCGGCAGAACGTACTGCGCAACATTTTGGTCAACGTTGCATCAGAATTCTGCCTGTTGCAAAGGATATCTTTTCCTACGTAACATTTGGAAACTACAGACGGAACGTTAACCTTATATGCGCTAGTACGACCTTATATGAGACCTTCTGCCAAAGTGCTATGTACAATACATTACGAGTTTCGTGTAGGTGCAGTGCGTTCTGCCGACGTGCTGGCACATGTAGGGTGGGAGTTGGACTTCCCTGAAGGATTTGCGGACAGCAAAAAGGGGCCAAGTGCAGGCAATATTTCATATGGTTGTGCCTGAGGGTGATGTCATCCCGTATCTGCAATCAATACGACTCAATCAGGGGGTTGCTCCAAAATTCATAGGATCTTATTGACCGGCTGAAAGCTATCTGCTAATAACTCCCAAGTTGTTCATATTTGCCTGCAGATCCAGAGGGTTACACCAATTTATCACATTTGGGGAAGGGGCTATTCTTTTGGGGGGAAGGTACTGTTTTGGTCATGTTTGTGTGTTCACAGCTGTAGAGTTAGATGTTTAAGGTTAGGTGTTACAACGGCTCAGTATAACGTAGGCAGCTGCCACTGTGCATTGTGCCTGCGAAGCTGGTGTGTTACGCCGAAGGGTGGTTATACCGGCTATACAGATACAGAAGCTGGAGTGTTACACCGAAGGGCGGTTATACCGGCTATACAGATACAGAAGCTGGTGTGCTACACCAATTTATCACCTCCAGGGAAGGGGGAGGGTATTGTTTTTGGTTGTGCTTGTGCTGGAAGCCTGTAATGTATTTATTTATTTATTTATTAAGTTTTACCACGTACAATTTCTGACATGAAACACCTTTTCAAAGCCGCCATACCAATAAAATGACAAGACAATACAAAAAGTAAACAAATCACATAGTACAATTTGAGAAACAAATGAATAAACTTAGAACTACAAGGCAAGCCAACTTATTAACATTGTGAGAGTTTTTGATTCTTGACAACAAATTAACGACAGTTATATAGCCAGCAGTGATATCACAGTTAGCGCGGTCTTGTGGCCAGACAAGTAGCGCAACCACAAGATAACTGCCAATGTAATGTATTGTGCATTGCACTTTGGCAGAACGTCTCATATAAGGTTGTATTTGTGTATGTAAGGTTAACACTCCGTCAACTGGTTGCACCAAAGCCTTAGCAAGAGGGTTTTGTAAGATACATAGAATATCATAAACCCATTGTCTCGAACAGTCCATCACCAGACAGATGCACGTACCCAACTCTTGCTTCCTAGGCTCGTACAGTTACAGATATGATAAAAATGGACACATGTTATGTATGTATTTTGTACCATGTATGTTTAAGATATACATGTATGTATGCATGTAGATCTAGTATAGGAACAGATACAGGGCTTGGAAAAAACGATTTTAGAGATCTGAGATTTTTGCAAAACTGTCTGTGGTGCTGAACACACTGTTGTTGTGGATCTGATTCATTTTCCTGATAACCTCTGCTATAACACATCTTGTTGGCTCTAACAGTAGCTTTTGTCTATGATTAATAAGACTGCAAGAAACAACACACTGTCAGATTAAAGTCAAAACCTATCCAGTTGCTGATTGGTTGATTGCAATCACATGACACAAACCTCGGTCTCTGATTGGCCATTCCAGGTGACAACTGCATGGATGAGGAGTTTGTGACACGGAAGTTTGAGACACTAAACAAAGCTACAGCTGATTGGTTGATTGCGATCACATGACACTAACCCTAGTCTCTGATTGGTTGAAATTCCAGGTGACAACTGCACAGATGAAGAGTATGAGAAACTCCTACAGTTGATTGGTTGATCGAAATCACATGACACTATATTCCCGGCCACTGATTGGTTAAAATTCCAGGTGACAACTGCACAGATGTAGAGTATGAGAAGCTCCTACAGCTGATTGGTTGATTGTAATCACATGACACTAACCTCGGTCTCTGATTGGCCATTCAAGGTGACAAAAACTGCACCGATGAGGAGTACGGCAAGCTGAAGACGCAGCTTCTTCGGCTGCAGAACCGGAAGTTCGCGCAGTCGCCTGACGCAGAGGGCCTCGGACAGGATGAGCTGTCAATCAAAAAGTTCCTGGTGACAATGATGTTTGAGTATTGGGACCTGAACAATGATGGACAGGTGTCAAGCAACGATATGCGGGAGGTAATATTTTCAGTTTTTTTGCCTTTATCTAACCTCGAAAAATGCTCTTTTTGGCCATCAGGGCTGCTTTAGATAGAGAAGTGTCAAGGGAAAATATTACAAATGTTTGGTCAACAAGACTCAATATAATAAAGTTCCTGGTGACGATGATGTTTGAGTACTGGGACCTGGACAATGATGGACAGGTGTCAAGCAACGAGATGGGGCAGGTGAGTTTCGGTTAGGGAGGCCTCTAAGATTAGTGTGTCGGATTAGAGTGTCAGTTTTTTAGCTTTCGTCCGCTCCCTACAATCTTAGCAGATTGTGGGGAGCAGCCTAAAGCTAAAAAAGGCTGACACTCAGGCTATCCTCAGATAGGACGTAAAATTGAGGTCCCATGTGTGGGGAGAGCCATACCTTGCACACGTTTTTAAAAGGACCCATGACACCTTTCAAAAAAGAGTAGGCAAAAGAAAGATGGTGTTCGAGTTCTGGGACCTGAGATGGGACAGGTGAGGGAATGTTATAGAGTTACATCAGAGTCACCTTCTTCTTCTTCTTCTTCTTGGTTCCTCTAACAACCCCGTAAGGGGTATCGCTGAGGGGGGGGAGGTGCGTGGACCTTACGGTAGGAAGGCCCGAAAGGCCTCCACAGATTGTGCCTGTATGGCCTGGGCAGGTAAACTGTTCCACTCTGGTATCGAGCGTGGGAAAAATGAGAATTTGAAACAGTCTTTCGTTGCAGGAATAATATTATATTTAAAGGCGTGGCTACCTCTGGTGCGCCGCTGTGCAGGAATAAGATATTGTTCAGACAATCCGGGATATGATACTGACCTGCATGATATCAATAAGCTATGAGGGGCCATGGAAGACAAAGTGCTATAGAGGAGACTCCCTGGGTGGGTTTGTTATCAACCAAGAATTGAGTTGAGTTGTCAAAACTTGTATTTTCCAAGAACTATCATAGTATGGAACTCGTCGCCACCAGGTACAGTAGGGGCAGTAGATAGCTTTAAGTTAAGAGTTAGAGTTAGGGGACATGAGGGCAAGAGGTTACATGTTTGATCGCTAGTAAGATGTTGTGTCTTAAAGTTTGGGAAAGGCACTTAACACTCCTCACTCCACCCAGGTGTAAAATGGGTACCTGCTTTCGGTTCGTAAAAGGCAGTGGAAGGAGAGGGATGGGCTCCACCTTCCACTACAGTGCCTAGACACAGTGGATTAACAACCCACTGCCCCTACAGCCTGACAAAGGCTAAGGGACTACCTATACCTTTTATAGTTAAATCAATCAATCAGTAGCATGAAAGTTTAATCTGTGTTGGTATAATGCAGATGATAAATCTCAGCCTTTTCCTCATAATCAATCAATAGATAATCTTTAGATGTTAATAATTTTGTATAATATTGTAGCGTCTGGGAGGGCAACTTGCAAAGGTGTTTATGCACCTGTTTTTAACTCCCTTCCACCTGTGCTTCTTGTGGTGAATTCAAAGAAAAAAATAGATTGATTTGTTTCCGTGGCAACCAGGTGATGCGGAGGGAGGATGAGCTGGCTGAGGTCATGACCTCATGTACCTTGTACGAAATGCTGAAGTATGACGACATCAACGACGACCATCGGGTGGACATCGATGAGTTCTACAACGCCTTTGGTGAGCAACCTTTATCTACTTTCATGAAAGTTCATCTGCGTTGGTAGTTACATGTTTAAAGTTAAAACTTTCGATCCAAAAAAAAAAGTTCTCTCACCTAGAGCCAGCATCGTTTACCAGACACCTTTGACCCAGTGTTGATGTCACACTTCAAAGAGGCCACATGACAAGCCTCACTGGGTCAGTCTATTGAGGAAGACCAGAGTGACTGGTGGAAAGCTCTAGGTGAGAGAACTTTCTGTGTTGGATCTAACGTTTTGACTTTGAACTTTATCTACTTATTTATAATTATTTGCCTGTGTACAAGAAAAGCATATTGTTTTGTTCAGTTTCTTCTTCTTCCATTCCAAACAAATTAAGTCAATGGCCTGGACAATGGTTACAATGGTCTGTCACTATGGTAACTTGTGCTGTAGCAACACCCTGTGGTGTTGGATTACATTATGGAGAGCCAGCTAACCATACATATTGACGTATTTGGCTTTGATTTTATGATATATATGATATGGATATACGATCATACATTAATCTAAGCTTAGTCTACCAGCAAAATTTGTCCCTCAAAATATGCCTGGTAATAGCATTTCAGATTGTCAGGATTTCAAAATTTCTCCATCTGCTGGTTTGAAAGTTGGTTCCCAGAGCCATAACAAAAACTTTCTTGCCACAGCCAGCCATTTAAGCAAGTCTTAACCTGCTAATAAAGCATTGATCAGGTTGCACAATGAACAGGCATGAAATGGCTGCAGTCATTAGTTCCAACGTTCCATTCAAGTTTATTCACTAATCGATAGGCAGCGGTTTGTTAACAACCAAGCAAGGTTTTTTATCTTTAACCAAACGTGATCATTTCTGTTTCACATGCTCATTACCCGCTGAACTGAACGTCATTCAGGAACAATTATTTGCGTCTCCCTGACTGAACGTGGGGATTCTGGTATTGATTTTCCCCGGATGATGTTGGGATAATGATACAGGGTCACACAGAATCAGCCAAGGTCAGGAGAAAAAATGGCCGCCGTGTTCCGTGAACAACGCGGGGTTAGAACCGTCTGTGATCAGTTATTCCGGGCGTGACCATTCGAGCAGGCCGGTGCCTTGGTGTGCTGGTAAGGTGATGGCTCAGAGGCTCAAGGTCATCCATAGCGACAAGGTCATTTGAAACAACCCATAGCAACAAGGTCATCCATATAGCGACAAGGTCATTTGAAACAACCTGTAGCAGCAAGGTCATCTTAACCTTGTCACCCATAGCAACAAGGTCATTTGAAGTGACCCATACACACAACAAAGGTCATCTTAACAAGGTCATCTTAACCATGCCACACATAGCAATAAGGTCATCCATAAAGCTCCAATGTCATTTGAAATGACCCATAGCGACAAGGTCATCTGAAGTATATTCTGAACCATGTCACCCATAGAAACAAGGTCATAGCAGCAATGACCTCTGTAGCCTTTGTGAACTTGAAGAAGCTTACGGGGCAAAACTCGTGACAGGCAGAACAAAAATTGTAAACGGGAACTATGAGGTTTTTACATGCCCATTATCACCATATGCCAAGCTTTGGAATTCCCTCTCTGACAAGTGTTTCCCACCAACCTACAATCTACAGGCTTTCAAATCAAACGTTCACCGCCATCTCTTGACATAGCCATGTTTCTCTCTTAGTTCTAGTTCAATGCCGAGAAGTGGTCGTATAGGCCTTGCATTGAACCACTCTGTTAAAAAAAATTGTGCCCCTAACCAGGAGTTGTGTTATTTCACCGCTGTTCCAGAGGCCAACCAACAATCTACAAGCCAGTATTCTCCATAAGCCGCCTGAAATGGCATTGGGTACTGATTTGATGCCCTTGATGTACAAAAGCGATAGCTGCTATAGCAACAAATACCCGAGATCATTCCCTACACTTGGGGAGAGAGAATTGAAAGGCTTCTAGGTCACCCGGATAGGTGGATGGGTAGCATCATGTAAGGAGAGGTTATGAGAAGTATGCATGTAGAATGTGCCATTAGAGGAGGTCAGTCACTTCTTGTTTTGTGGCATGTGCGAAAACGGAGTTAGCTGTCTCTGAAGAGAGTTAAGGGTGTGCCAGTGTCACCAACTGTTTCTTGGATGAACATGAAACTCTTGACTTAACTTGACTTATGGCGAGTGCTGGTGTCCCTGATGTGCAAAAAAGTATCACGACAAGGAAAGGCACTATATTTATGGACAAATATTGTTTCTGTGTTCAACCCTATTCAACCCTTTATTCAAAATATTGTAGTTATGTACTCTCTGTACTCTTAAGTAATGTTGGTGGAATTGTTAGGTTGTATTTATTATGATGTAATTTTAATGTACAGAACTCCAGGAAGATTAGTAAGCAACTATTTTTTTACTGATGGAGTTCCTAAAAAACATAACATAAACCCTGGCAAGAAAACACATAAAGCAATCCAAATTAGCCTCATGACTACTGGAGGTTTGTTTTAGTGGTCCTGCACTCCACTTTTTTTTAAGCCCTTGTCTGTACCCCAAGTCTTCTGTATCAAGTCCTATCATTCTTTTTTGGCCTTGCACTTGAAGATTTGGCTGAAAAATAAGAAACAACTGAAGTAGAGCTATGTATCTGATGACTAAAATGTATTATACTGTCCATGGTGCTGAAATCCTCGTGGTTCTTCAACTGTTGCAATTCTCCATCTGATAGCAGATGTTCGCTCTCTCTGGCCTCACAGTTGACACACCAGTGATCTAGCCAGCCTGAATTTTGTTCCCATTAGGCCACACCAATTTAATTTCTTGGTTAACGGCTTTACCCGCTTCATTTTTTTCTAATTTGCAAATAAAAATAAAAATAAAAATCCAGAATCAACTGCAAAATGCTCATATTTTGCCCAGAACAGTTGAAAACAGTCCTTTTCATCCTAGTTGTTACAGTTATTCCATCTTTCAATGCAGTGGTATCATTAAAAGTTCAAAATTCATTGTTTAAATTTTGAACCAGCCTGGTGTGCTGACTTCATGGCTCCTATTATACCATTTTGGGCCATAATAGGATGCCTAGGCCTGTTTTTATTTATTTATTTATTTTTTTGCCCGCCCGCTCCATTATTTTTCTAAAAAAAATCCGTTAACCAAGAAATTAAATTGGTGTGGCCTTTTCTCAATTTTGTGAGATGTAACATCATGTCAAGTGCAGAAGGTGCAACAATCCTAGGGGCTCTTGGGGCATGCTCCCCCGTGAAGTCTTGACTCTCTGAAATGCTATTTCCTGCATTTTGGGGGGCAAATTTTGCTGGTAGACTAAGCTTATTTGTCTGCCATGAACAGCAAATACAGACAATACTGTATTCTCAAACAGTCAGCCCTTTCACGTATGGCATCAGATGAATCGCCTTACAGAAGTTGAGAGAGAGACACATTCCCATATCTGGGGACTGCAGTTGTTACTCCAGAGAATGCAGGGTTCAATTTGTCAAGCGGTTTCCATAAATCTGCAAGCTTTCACAGCACCATAAGGACTGTACGACAATGCCACAGGCAGTAAAGGGCATCCCAAAAGTGTTCCTGAAGTGGTGAAGTCAAATGTCAGGTGGGAGGTAAGATTCCTGCCTGAAGACACTAGTATAATGCAGATGCAGCTGAGCTGACAAGATCTTACTGCAAGGGGCCACACACACACAGTTCTTTTTGCACACCCTCAAGTCTAGCAACCGTCTCTTTCAAGGAATAATTTTGATGCAAAATAAGTGTGTATGGGCCAATCTGGATTAAACGGGTGAATCAAGGATCAAGACCAAAATGCATTTTCACCCCAAAAAAACACCACGACTTAACCCTAAAAAAACACCACTTCTTATGTCATTTTGTCGCAGAAACATGAATTCACACTTGGACCCTCAGAACCCTCTTGTTACTTTTTTTTTATTGCCCCAGTCAAAAGTCTGAGAAATATTTGTTAACGATAAGAATAACCTTGCTGTACAGAAGTGACCTCAAAAACCGAAAACATAAACATACTGTGAAAAATCAGTGATTACAGTCCGACTGTAACAAATATCATTTACCTGGATGTGTAAGCTTCATCAAGGAAGGAATATATGAAATATGTATCTACTGAAGCAGTTTTAACGAACAACATGTTGAATATCAGGAAATGTGCTTCATGTTTCTTATCTTCTCACAAGGGAGGAAACACTCGACAGTGATTAAGACTTATGTTTTGCTTTCTGAGTTTAGTTTCCTAGGCATAGGAAAAAAAATGTTGTGTTTCCCGTTTCCAGACAGACTCTAGAAAAAACTGCTGACACTAGCCATTTTTTGACGGACCCCTGCAAGGGACATACATTTTTCGAGCTGATGGACTATTTCTAGCACCATGATTTGACACCTAAGGGATAAACTTTACACAACTGGTTTTCTAACATTGACATTGAAAATATGTGTCCTCCTGCAAGTTTTACTTTATTAAACTGTATTATTGTATAATTTGGATCACTAGCGATCACCAAAGCCTAATAAGAAAAGAAAGAAGAATCAAGATAAACCCTATCTACGGACTCTAATTTTGTCAGGACTGAAACAGGAAACACAACATTTTTTCCCTAGGCCCTACATGTATTTGGTGGTAAGTGTGGCTTCATCAGTAGTCTCCTGTGGTTTGGTAGAAGGTTGAACTGTCAGGATGGGAGAGAGTTTGTGCTTAATGACATTCACAATAAGTCGTTAGCCTGAAAGTTCAAAGCAATAAATGGTTGTGGAGGAACGAAACTGCAGCAAATTAGGCCACACCAATTTAATTTGTTGGTTCTCGGATTCGCCTCTTCGTTTTTTCCTGATTTGCAAAAAAAAAAAAATAGTTTGATTCTGGTCCTGAATCAACTGAAAAATGCTCATGTTTTGCCCCCAACAGTTGAGGAAAGTCCTTTTCTTCCTAGTTGTTACAGTTTTCCCATCTATCATTGCAGTGGTTTGATTTAAAGTTCAAAATTCAATGTTTAAATTTTAACC